GGGGGAAGCTCCAGAGCAGGGATTTCAGCTCATTATAGGGTCTGCTCTCCGGGCATCGGATCTGGCCACTAATGGAGCAACTGCCCTGAGTGGTAATGATCCTCCCATCACGAGGAGAACTCAAGCAGAGGCTGAGGGACTTACGGGTCTAAAGGCTGCATAGGGAAGGTCCTCCATGGGGAGATTAGATTCCATGAGCTCAAGGTCACTCCCAATTCTAAGATCCTGACAAAACTCAGTTCGTAAGGGACCGGGCCTGGAGTGCTTGCCACAGTTCAGGGCTCTGCTGTGAAGGGCAGCGCAGGCCCCTAGGGAGTGACACGGGGGAGCAGGCCCGCACCGCGGGGACCTGTGAGCTGGGGAGCAGGGATTCTCCTCATTCGTGTTTTCCTAGAGGGCCATGAGGGGCTGACAGATGACCTGCTCCTTCAGACCCACACGGCTACCCATCTGCAGTGTGGCAGTAGACAGAGGTCGACAGGGACGTGGGTAAGCAGCAGCCGCAGGGAGATGGCAGGCGGGCCGGGCCAGGAGTCCCCAGGGAGGGAAGGGTCCTCACACAGCCAGGGGCACCTCTCCGCTGCTGAGCCCTCCCCGGCTGGGTGGGATTGGCTGGGGCTCCGGGTGCGAGGAGGTGTTGGTGGGACTGTGCTCTAGGGGCAGACGAGAACCACGAGCAGGGAGACAGCAGGGGACAGGCAGGGGACAGGCCAGGACACAGCCTGCCTTGCACCCCGGAAGGGGCCAGAGCAGAAGGTCATTTCCCAGGAGGGAAAAAACTGGCTTCTGAGGATGCAGCAGGCCGAGCAGGGCGGGGCGAGGGATGCGGACATGGAGTTCTAGAAGATGAATCTCAGGGCACAGACACCGGCTTCCGGAGTCCTGAGAGGGGCCAACGGGGCATCGGGAAGAATGTGGGAGAAGTTCCCTGCACGGGGCTCCCTGTGGGGGCCACGGCGCAGGGCGAAATCCCTGTCCCTTGAACAGGGAGCACACCCTCTGCAGGGGCTAGGCCTCCTGAGCCGCTGCAGCCTGTCAGGAGGCTGGGCAGGCAGGCTGGGCTGGGGTGCTGCGGCCCGTCAGGAGGCTGGGCAGGCAGGCTGGGCTGGGGTGCTGCGGCCCGTCAGGAGGCTGGGCAGGCAGGCTGGGCTGGGGTGCACGTTTGGCTCCAGGCTTCAGAACCCTTAGAGCCCAGAGGCTAGCTGCCTCCGCTCACCAAGCCCCCACCCCTGAGCCAGCGTAGGTAGGGCCTGCGGCAGAAATGTGAGGGGGAGGGGCTGGGAAGTTTGAGGGCCCCTGGGAAGGCAGGGAGGGGAGCGGGCTCAGAAAGGGAGAGAGAGGCATTGGGTCCTCCATGGGGCCAGCGCTGTCCTCCCACCCTGACACCCCATCCCCACCCCCCCCCTGCCCGGCATCTGCACTCCAGGCCTTGCCCAAGCTGGTCTCAAGCTGCCTTTCCTGGGCTGTTTTCGCCTCCCCGGGGCCTGAAGTCTTCCCTCCCCCGCACCAGCTTCTCACCGCACCCCACACATCAGCCGTCCCTCCACTGAGCCTGTGAGCAGGGACTGCCCAGCCTTCCTCTGAGTCGGATGCACATCAGGACGCCTCCCCTCTCCTCCAACTGCAGGCCCCACTCTAACCTGCATCTTCCTGTGCTGTCCTTCAAAATGCTCTCTCCCCCCTTGGCCCCTCCACATCCTGCTCACCCCCTGGATTGCCCACAAAGAGTTCCAGCCCTCAGGGACCCTTCTGCTTTCCTAGACCAAGATAATGGCCCCTCGCTCTGAGCTCCAAGCACTTTACTTCTCCGTCAGCTCTTGAAGGTCTGGCTGGCGCACTTCCTCCTGCCAGCGCTGCTGGGGGAATGACCGCTTACTCACTTCCAGGCTCCCCTAAGGTCTGGCACTCAGGGGAAGCGCTCTCAAGGTGCCCTGAAGGGGTCTGCAAAGTGCCGTGGACCGGATGTGACTTCTCTGTGCCCACACCCTGGGAAGATCCAAGATGCCTAGCTGTCCCATTCCCGGCCGCGATTCTCATCCCCGAGTCTTCCCACCCGGACTTACCTGTCGGCGCTGAGGATGGGGCTGCTGGTGGACAGAGGGCTGGGGGAGACAAAGGCGCTGCCCAGGGTCCCATTCCTCAGGGGCGTCTCGTGGCCATAGGCCTGGGCAGCTGGGGCACTGAAGCTCTTGGGTTCAGCATCCTGAGGTCGGGGCCCGGCCACTGCCGTCCGTGCCACAGACTCCACGTAGCTCCGGGCTTCTGGAAGGAGCAGGAGGACAGAGACTGAGCTCAGATCCCCAGAGGTGCAGTGTGGGACCCTCCCAACCTGCCAGGGACACAGCCACCCAAAGCAAACAGGGGAAAGACAGCACAGGAACAGCCCCCAAAAGACATCAGGACACTTGACCGGGGGCTCCTGCCTGCCACACCCACCCTGTCCCAAGACAACCTTTAACCAGAGCCTGACTCAAGAACCTTTCCAGAAATGAGCCCCCAACTCCACCCCTGCACCACGGCCATCAGAGACTCGTCCGCCCAAGAACCAGGCCGTCTGTCCATGACTGGCACCCCCTTTGCTGACCCTGCTACCCAGGCCCTTCCGGGCTCCCAGACACCAGAGTGGACCCGGAGCTGCATCTGACCTGGCCCGTGTCCCGGGACAGCCCTGGGGTCCTCCCCAGGCCTGGAGTCAGACACAGGCTTGCTCACCTAGCAACAGGCCTGGGTCTGCCGAGGCCTGGATACCAAGACACGCCCACTGTCTCTGCCTGACGCACTTCGCATTTCTCAAGAGATGGACACCAGACAAACAGTCCCCAGGCGGGGCTGGACACTGTTTGCGCATCTCTGTCACTCCCACAGCACTGGGCAGTTCAGAGAGGACATTTGTACACAGGATCCAAGGTTAGAATCCAAAACTCCCAGGTCAGAAGAGGAGGGAAGGGGAAGAGCCAGAAAGGCCATTTTACAGATGAGGAAGTTGAGGCTGGGACAGTGACATGATGGACGCACAGCCGGGACCCAGGGCCCCTGACTCCCAGTTCAGGGCTCGTCTGACTCCCTCCACCGCCTCTGAGGCCAACCCTGAAACTAGCCCAATATTAAACAGCAAGAGGAAGCGGGGCACGCAGTCTCCAGGGACGTGAACAGGGACAGAGGACATGCCACCGCCTGCAAACCTGGCACCGTCCCTGTCCCACCAGAAGGGACGAGGCCTGAGCACAGGCTCCAACTTTGTCATACCCAGGGCATCCGCGGAGACCAGCCTGAGACACTTTGGGGCCAGAGTCCATGCGGCCCTGAAGGGGCCCTTGCAGCCCTGGCTGACCAAGATGGTCATGGTCACCGAGGGGGAGAAGTGCCCCTCCCCTGGGTCCCTCAGGGGTGTGAGGACTGGGGTTGGGGCAACTAATGCAAACCCCCTCCCCAAGCCCGAGGAAGCCCCCCACTGGGGAGAGGGGTGTTGGCAGGGGCCTGTGTCGCCCACTGCAGCCTCTTTCTGAGGCAGGCCCAGGCCCGACATGGCACACTGGCCGCCGTGGACACAGAGGAGGGTGACCCTTCAGGCCAGGGTCCTTTGCAGAGGGGGTCCTGAGCCTGTGGTGGGGGGAGGCAGTATGTCTGCAGAGGGGTGGGGAGGGTGGTCTATCCCAGGCTGCCACAGGACCAGTCACCTGGGCCCCCAAGCTGGAGTCCAGCAGTGGGCAGAACCAGCAAGGCCTCCCTAAGCAGCCCAAGCCACCACACCTCCTGGGAGTCCCAGGCCAACAGAACAAAGGAGGCTGGGTTCTCCGCTCTGCAGCCCCAGGCCCTGCAGAGGCCTCTCTGATCCGGGCTGGTATGTAAAGGTTCCCCTAGTAAACATCTAAGGTGGGGCAGATCAGAGGGCCTCTGTCGCAAGTACACAGTCCTACTGTCCTAGCCTGAAAGCATGCGGAGACAATAGCTCAAGGCATGGAGATGACTATGTTGCAATAGAATTTTTCTCACAAAAATAGTTGGCAGGCAGGACCTGGCAGGCTGCCAGAGTTTGCTGACCCTTGATCTATCTAACCTGTCTCCTAAGCCCAGAGAGGTGGAGCAAATTTGCCTAGAACACACAGCCAGTGCATGGCCGTGGACCAGCATCCCAGTCTCCACATTCAGAGTATCATCAGGGGTGGACCACAACAGGACCACTGTCTCATGGGGAGACCTAGAGCTGGCTGCTATCCAGCACGCCAGCCACCAGCCAAAGGAGTGCCAATTCTGAGAGCTATGCATAATTACAAAAATAGCAGCCACGTGAGGGAAGCAGGATCTGAAGGACGGGAGCACAGTGCACTGGCCACACAGCTAGCAGGTGGCAGAGCCAGCTTGGGAACCTGGGAGGGACCCAGAGGCCACCTGACCCACCGACGGTCTGAACTCGGGAGCCCATGGTTTCAGGGTGGCTCCTTGTCCTGGGCTAGTAACCCCCTGTGGCAAAGGGACCATCAGAGTCACACCCAGAGAAAAGTGAAGGACACCCAGGCCAGGGTCCTCCCTGCTCATCCCTCACCACCTCAGGCCGCTCCACAGCTTCCCAGGCCCTTCTGGGTGCTCAGCATGCCTTGCTCAGGTCCCTGCAGCACGCGGCACCTGACCTCTCCCACCCAGGACAGCAAGGGGGACAGGGCTCAGGGGTGTTCCCCGTGCCCCACACAGCACCTGGCCCACAGCAGGCCTCGGCACGTGCCTGTCCCACAAACTCCGACCCACAAGCCCACCCTGCAGCCCTTTCCCACCGAGGAAGACCAGGGGCCCGAGACGTCGCACTGGGTCTCTCGCTCCCTGAAGTTCAAGGTGAAGCCTGCTCAGGTGAGCCCTGCGGGTCTGTCCTCCTCTCTGACCCCCTCTCCATTCTCAGCCACTGTCCCGCTCCTCGGCCTTCCTAGTGCTGCTTCACCTACTGCCCACCAGGCCCCTGCCCTGTGGCTCCAAGGGCTCTGGGTGAGGCACGGGGGTTCTGGCAGGGGGAGGCAGGGGCCGGTGGCTGCATCCCTGTACCCACGGCCGCAGCCCTGGTGGCTCTCCCCAGCCCTCCCCTGTTCCTTCAAGGCTGGGTGCTGCCGAGTGCCCAGGGCTCTCCCTGGTTTGCAGGACTTTGTAACCCTGGCTCAACTCTCCTCGGACGCCATAGTGGCTTGGCAAGACCTTGGCCCACACTCTGGGTAAGCAGCTCAGTCACCCTCCACCCTGCTTCAGAGAAGGTCCAACAGCAGGAGGAGCCTGGGCCCCTGGTGGCTGACCCCCGGTGGCCTGCTAGTCCACTGCCTTCTTCCAGCTGAGCTGTGAGCGGGGAAGGTGACAACAGAGGGCTGGCGCTACCGTGCGCCTGCCACGGTCAGGAAACAGCGAGGCCCATCAGGGACCTGCCCACCCACGCCCTGCCCCCATCCTCTGCCCCTCTCCTTCCTGTCCCTCAGTCCCAAACCAGGGTCGGGGTGGGCGAGGCCCTCCCAGCCCCCTCTGTGCTCCGGGACCCCGAGAGCGGGGACCCTGGGGAGTTCACCTCCAAAACCAGCGCGAGGAGCCAGACGTGGGTTTCCCAGCCTTCAGACCCGGGCCACCTCCAAGGCTGCCTTTTCCGTCTGTCTCGGCCTCCTGTCCTTGTCCTTCCCACAGCACAGCAGGCTGCCCCGCCCCTTCTGTCACCCACATCTGTAAAGTGGGGACGACCCCCGCCCAGCGCACTCTCCTGGACGCCTTCTTGCTAGTCCAGTTTGGGCCCCGGCTCCACTCCAGCCCACCCCAGGCACCCGAGTTGGGAAGGGCGGGAGAGGCGGGGCGGGCAGGTGCTGGGGTAGAACATTCCAGGAGCCCAGACCCACTCCAAGTGGCTGCTGGCGGCGGAGAGCAGCTGGAGGGACCAGGAGGACCTGGCTCCTCCAGCCCAGGGCCGGCTCCTCCTGACCCTCAAGGGCACTTTCTACCTCCCCCAGACTCCAGCTCAGCAGAAGGGCCTGGGGCTGGGGTGTGGCTCAGTGGCAGGGCTCCTGCCCAGTGTGTGCCAGTGCCTGGGGTCCCGCCTCAGCACACAGGGGGGAAAGAGAAGGAGGATTAGACCCCACTGAGTCCCTTATCCAACAGCACAGAGCTAAAAGTATAGACCCTTCTGACCACACTGCAGATCCTCCCACGATACCCACCTGCCCGGCTCAGCCCTTCTGCCTACCTGCTGGGGTCTCCGCCCTCCCCGGGGAGCCGCACTCCATCTTCATATCCTCGGTTGTAAAGGCACAGGGCCTGGCACGTAGTATGTGCTCAATAAATCTGCATCAGAGGCTCTGCCCCAGGACACCCATAACAAGCCTCCAGAGGTCACTCCTAGCCCCCGTCTTCACCGCACTGAGAGCCTACCCTGACTGTCCCCTGCCGTGGAGGCCGATCCTGATGTCCACCTGTGCTCCTTCCTCAGTGCTTCCTCCCCTCCTTCTCTCAAGGAGAAGGGCCCTGGGGCCCCACGCCCAGTGAGGTCACCATTCAAATGTTGAAGTGTCCCTTCCACCCAGCGCAGTCACTTGGAAAGGAGCAGCCTCCACTCCCTGATCCTGCGTCAGCGCTAAGCTGTGCCCCTGACGACTGTGGGCCTGGGCGGGTCATCTAATCTCCCCGGTTGATAAAACGGTTGCTCTACCTTCCTTTCAGCACTGCAGTGATGACAATGACTTCTGTGGCCTGGCTCCTGCCTGTTCAACCTCACTCCATACCAAACACCCCCTGGCCCTGTGCTCCAGCCTCCTGACTTCTCTGTTCCTAGAAAAAACACACTGTCACTTCCTCCCTCGGGACTTTCACCTGCTATCGACATGCTATTCCCTCTCACCCCAGGGCCTTTGTACATGCCATTTCCCTTTGCTCTCCTCACATCTGAGTTTCACCAGCTTTGTGCAACTCCCCTCCACATCTTACTTCTTCAACCTGGGTCATGTTCTTTGCCATGAGGTCTCATGAAACTTTATCCCTTTCCTCCAAAGCACTTAATTCATAATTCTGGCTCCTGTTCATGCCTAGGCGCCGTAAGACTAGAAACCATGTCTCATACTGCTTATCGTTATGTCCCCAGAGCCTGGCACAGTCCTGGTACACAATAGGCACACAAAATATTTTTTGAATGAACAAATCAAAGAATGCATGAATATATATAGCACAGTGATGAACAGAACAAATGTCCCCCGAATTCTTCATTTCCTCCAGCTGAATAATTCTCCCACTCATCATTTCCCCCCACAGACTTCTTTTTCTGAATTTCCCATTAAAGTATCAGCAGGGAAGTCAAGCAGAGCTTCCAAGGGTCAGCAAGGAGGTGCTGCCTGGGTCAGGAAATGCGCAACAGGTCGCCACGGCCTTGCCCCTGCCCCACCTGGCCCACTGCCCGGGCAGCTATTCCGGCTCCCAGGCTGCAATCCTGGAGCCTGGGCCTGGAAGCAGGAGAGGGCTTGAAATGGCCACTTGACAGGAGGCCCAACTCCAGTTTGGTTCTGTCACCTCCCAAGTTCCCAAATGTGACCTTGGGCAGATCCCCCCGCCCCCCCTAACAGACCTCAGCTCCTCGTCCTGGACAATGGCAGGTGTGGGCACGGCTGTCTTGATCCCTAGGAACCGTCCCCTCCCAATTCTGTGGCTCTGGGACAGACGTAGGGGTGGGGGACTTGCAGCTCGTAAGCTGAGGGTCATTCACAGGCTCACTTGGCGGGTCTCAGTTCAGCTCTGTCACCACCTGCTCCTCTGAAGAGCCCCCTCAAGGCGGGAGCCACAGCTGCCAGGCCTGTCAGCCAGGAGGATGGTGCCGCTGGGGACTTCTCACCTGACAGCCCACCTGTGCGCCCGAGCCTGCCAACGCAGGGGACCGAGAGCCAGCTGCGCGATCAGAGAGCAGAGCCACCGCCCGGCTCGTGCCAGCCGCCGCGCCCCAGCTGCGCCGGCATTTCGGAGAACCAGCAAGTTGGCTTCCAGCCCGAGAGACAGCCCCTACCCAGATATGAAGCTGGGGAGGGCACGGAGGGACCGGCTGCACGCTCAGCCCCAGGACCTGCGCCACGCCCAGGCATCCCAGGATGCCACCCAAACTCGAGCTGGTTGGACAGAAGCAAAACTTTCTGGAGCACTCCAACCGCCTGACCTGGTGAGGGCAGATTCAGAGGGGTCTGGCCGGCTTTGGGGTTGGAAACCAACGTGGTGTGTACAAAGGACAGTGGCCCCGGAGAACCACACAGAGTCCCCAGAGAAACACCCCCCTCATCTCGCCCACTGGACCGAGTCCTCCTCTGAGTTCTGTCCCTAGTGGATCAAAGGCCTTCCACCGGACTGCGTTCCCTCTCTGCCTGCTGGTCACAATGCAAGGACAGGCGCATCCTAATCAGGGGGAGGCCCGGGCCCCATGGCCTGCTAACTCCCGAAACTCTTTTCTTTATACACCAGGGTTCAACCCTGAGAGCCACATCCTCAGGCTTTTTTTATATTTTATTTTGAGACAGGGTCTCACTGAGTTGCTGAGGCTGGCTTTGAACTTGCGACCCTCCTGCCTCCGCCTCTGAGCTGCTGGGATCATAGTCGTGGGCCACCACGCCCAACTCTTCAGAACATTGTGCAGGGGTGTCCCGCTGCCCTGCTGTGCCGGGTGGGTCCACAGCTTTCCTGACGTTCCCAAAGGTGTCTGAGATGTTGGAAAGACAGACTTCCTGCTGTCTGTGTGGATAGGGCCTTCCTGGAGGCAAGCTGTGAATCTATGACAGTGGCTCTGAAACAGGGACAACTCCCCAGGGGACACTGGCCATGTTGGAGATATCTTCAACAATCATGACTGGGTGCTGCTCTGGCACCCAGTAGGTCGGAGCCAGAGATGCTGCCAACCGCCCTTCAGTGCACAGGAAGCCAACAGCCAGGAACTGTCCACCCACCATGGCCACAGGGCCAGAAGTCCGGCTCGGACAGACCCCTCCAGACCCCTCTGCGTGGCTGTACACCAGGCCGGCGGGCACAAAGCCACTGGCAGAGGAAGTGACAGGAGAGACGTTTTTGTCCACAAACTGGCACCAGCTGGCGCCTGGACACTGGCTGCGCCTGAACCAGCGCCCAGTGGCTCCCAGCTCCCCAGACAGGATTCAGGTGGTGCCCGGGTAATATTTCATTGTCAGGGAGTGGGGACAGGAAGGCCATGTGCCTGGTCACTTGAGACCAGGTAAGAAAAGAGAGCTGTCCCTGAGCCGCCATGCGTGACAAGCCATTCCTAGACCCGGAGCAGCCGCACTCCAGCCGCACTTACCTTCTGGAAGCTTAGCCAGCTCCCTCCCCTCATCTTCCTCTGAGGGAAGAGGAGCAGGCAGCCAAGAAGAAGAGGCAGGAAAGAGGGGCAGGAGACGGAGATGGGAGGAAGAACCATCGGGAGAGAGAGGGAGAGGGAGAGGGAGAGAGAGAGAGGAGAGAGACTGGTTAACAGGGATTGTTCCTGGAGAAGGAATCGGCTGAGGGAAGGAGGCCGAGGCCGAGAAAGAGCTGGGCTCTCCACAAAGAGCTCAGGGGAGGGCTGAGGCCCACCCTGTGCAGGACCCAGGAGTCCAGGGTGCAGTTTAGACACTGACGCAGGAGCCTGTCCCTCTCCCAGCGCCTGCGGCCAGGGCTCATGTGGGCCAGGTCTCGAGAAGCCACGTGCTGGCAGGTGAAAGGCAGCCCCAGCCCCCTTCCCCTCCCGTGGCTCAGTGTCCCTAGCCATGCTGGTCAGGAGTGACCTCCTGCGTGGGAGCCAGTGTCTGTGTGGGTCACAGATACATGCCGTTGCCCTCCTACCTGGCTGGACCAGTCTCCTGGTGGCTAAGGAGAGAAGGTTAAAGTTGACCCCAAGACCCAGCTCCGCCCTGAAGCCAGCGTCTAGAAGTAGTTTTCTGGACTGAACTGGCTCCATCTTGCCACTCAGAGCCCAGGGCCCCCCCTGTCTCCACCCCCACCCCACAGGAAGGAGAGGAAGTGGGAGGTGGGACAGGAGGTGGGAGGCATGACCCCGAGCACCTGCTCCAGAGGACAGCCTGAGGAGGCCCACTTTCTACTACAGAGACAGGAGGGTGCTGGAGCCCAGCGAGGAGGGAGCAGCCCAGTAGCCTGGCTCCGGTCCTCAACAGCAGGGTCAAAGGCTACCAGCATGAGGAATTTGGACCAGGAGACCAGCAAGGCCTTGGACAGGCCAGAGAGACCCAGGGCCAAGGGGGAGAGGGCTGGGGAGGGGACAGACAGCAATGGCTGCCACTGAGTCATGAGTTCTCAGGCAGAGGTTTGTGAGCCACAGAGGCAGACCAGGAGAACTCAGGGTGGCCTCTGGCGTCTCGAGAATGCTCAGAGCACACTAGGGACCGGGGAGCCAGGCTCCCAGCAGACAGCAGGCCCAGTCCAAGGAAACCCAGGCCAGGCCTCCAAATCCCAAAGTCCACAGGGGCCACATGGGCAGGAAGGTGGCCAAGGGATGTGTCACCTTGACCCCTGCACCGAGGGCCCCGAGGCCTGACCTCAGAGTGGCACAGGGCCCGCTCCCTCTCCTGTCCAGAGCGTCTCCAGAACCTCTACTCTGGGAGCCTCCATTGAGATCCCCAGCCCAGGCCACAGGGTCCTGCCCCGCGGCCTCCCGCACCACGTCCACCCAGCCAGTCACTCACCGCCTGTGGGGTGCAACAAGATGTCCGCTGGGTTGTGGGGTTTCAGGCCCAGAGCAGATAGGGGTGTCTTGGCCAGACCTGGAGGGGAGCGCACTGTGCCAAAGGGAAAAAGAGGGCACCTGGAGTGAGTGGATGGGGCAGCCCTGCGGGACACGCCACAGACAGAGCCAGTGGCCCGGTGGCCAGGGCTGGGCCACCGGAGCCAGCCCAAACCCCACACTGGGGCTCCACGGCCCTTCCAGTCCCCTGTGTTTCTTCACATTCCAGCAGTTTAAAGGACAAAGGGAAAGAGTCAGGAAATGACGTCCTTTGTCCTGGCCCTGTCCCCAACCTTGAGAGAATCATTCCTACCCCTCGGCCCTTGGCTTCTCACTGCTGTCCTTTTCACTACTCTGCCCTACGGTATATACACGGCTCTCTCTGCCTCTCTCTAGAATATTCTCTCTCTCTTTCATCATTCTCTTTCCCCAACATCCCTCCCCAATGCACACACACACTTACACACTCACACACAGACACACACACACACACACACACAAACATAAACACACAGCCTTTCAAACCCATGCCCGTGATGGACTTAGAGGAAGACAAGCGAAGATAAAGATTCAGCAGAAGGGGACCACGGGCTGAAAGGGGACCACGGGCTGGGCCTCAGGCCTGCCCTCCACCAGGTGTGTCCCTTACAATCCCAGTGAGGGACTGTCTCTGTGTGGGGCTCCGTACCCCCAGCCTCAGTGTCCTGGGAGAAGGAGAAGCCTGAGAATAATCCCTGGCCAAGAGCCCCAGCTTCCTGTGCACAGCCAGGCTCCGCCCAGCCGCCCATCTGGGTTACAAGTGTCACATAACACAAGGTCAGAAAGGCTGTCAGGCTCTTTCCCATCGGCCAAGGACTCAGCTGAGCTGCTGGGCAGTGTCATGCCCAGTCACGAGATGTCTTGGTGACAGCTGCTGCGTCTCCTCACACACCTCCGAGAAGAGAAGAAATGAGCTCTGTGGCTCCTAGCAAGGAGACCTACAGAGGCCACAGCCCCTGAGGACACTCCCTCTCACCGGTGGCCTCAACGGACTAGCTGTGGCCCTCGGACGCCCAGGACCCAAACACAGCTCCGCCACCCTCCCTGGGCCCGCTGGCTTTTCCCAAGACAGACAGGCTTCAAAGAAAGGAGCAGCAACAGACAAGTACAGCCTCTCAGGGTCACCAACATGCACAGCGTGGTCAGGCCGGCACAGGTGTGCACACATGCTGAGGGAGATGGGTGGCCCACTAACACCCCAGCCTCACTCTCCTTAGAGGACCAAGGGACAAACACAGCACAGGGAGAAACGTGGGCAAACACACCTCCAAGGTACCAGGTAGGTCCAGACCTCTCCATGCCCACAGCCCCCTGCCCCACATGACATCCTGCTCATAGACGCTTCTCAAGCCTTCAGTAATGTCCGTCAACTGAGGGCACAGATTAAATGACATAATCACCAAGAGCGAGCCTGACCTCCGAGACACCGGCCCAGGGACAGAGAAGCAGCTCCAGCCCGCAAGTCTGCATATGCCACCCAGCAGGTGCATCGGGGTGCAGGGCCCCAGAGAGAGAAATCAGAGGGGGCCAGAGGCCAGAGACTCGCGCGCCCCAGCGCCCCCATCCCAGGCAGCGCGGCCCTTCTGCTGAGGCAGCTGAGTGGGTGGCACTGAAGCCAGGCGCCCTCTGCTTCCTGAAAGAAAAATTCCTGGCATTCCCCCGCCTCCATCCTCTCTCCAACTCTGTGCATTATGAAAGCTCTGACTTCTCCTTGTCCCCAGGGCACCCAGCGCTGGCCAGGAGGAGGGAGAGAAAAAGGTAAAACTCAATTCTAGGACAGACCTGATGGCTTCCATCCCAAGCAAGGGGACACCCAGCCCTTGGCTGTTGGACCTGACAGCAAAAGGAGGCAGAGGTGCAGGTCAAAGGTCAGGACTGGGTAAGAGAAGCCATCGAGCCAACCGGGTTACAGAGTGTCTTGAGTAGGTGGTTCCAGTGTGGCAGCCAAGGGCCCCCAAGGCCACCAAGGCCACTTGGAGTTGACTGGTCTGAACTGAGTTGTGCTGTCAGTTCAAAATACACAACGGTATTCAGGGTGCAAAAGGAACCCAAAATATCTCATTTTTTAAGTTAACAAAGTACATCTCAATCATGTAGATTGAAGTTAAATAAAGCTTATTATTAAAAATAATGTCACCATTATCTTTTTACATGTTTAAAAAAGATTGTAAAATTATCTCGGTATTTTTAGACTGATTTACCTGTTGGAATGATAATAGTTTGGACTTAGAAAAAATGTTATTAAAATTAATTTCAACAGGTCATGATTTTTGAAGTTACTAGAGAATTTTTTAAAAATAAATTTTTTAGTTGTAGATGGATATACTATCTTTGTTTTATACAATACATAAAAATAAAGGTATTATTTTTATGTGGTGCCAAGAATTGAACCCAGTGCCTCATACATGCTAGGCAAGCGCTCTACCGCTGGGCCACAATCCCGGCCCGACTACTAGAGAATTCTAATGGCGAGGGTGCTCGTATTCTGTGTCTACCCGCAGCCAGAGCCAGGGCTGCCACGGCTGCTGATCCGTCACAGCTTTGGCCTCCTCAAGATGGCAGCCAGCACAGTTTTGCTGGCACACAGAATACGTGCACTATTGCCATGTTCCACCCCTGTGCAGGACAGCCAGCCCCAAGGGGCGCAGAGCCAGCTGCAGCTCACCCTGCCTTAGCCACTTCCCCTCTCATGAGGGCAAATGCACAGCTTGGGCCTGGACCAGCCAACCCACCCCTGAGGATCCCCGGAACCTGCTTCCTCTGCTCTGCTGATCTGGGCCTCTCACGGGGACCCGAGTGTCTCTTGACCTAACAGGATGCCGTCACTGCACTGACCACAGCCACCTCCCCCAGGTCAAGGTATTTCCCCTATAAGAGGGATGGCTGCCGTGCTCCTGGCCTCTTTCACTCTTCCCTTTGGTGGCCCTTTGGGAATTTGCCTCCCCAGCCGTACAGGCAGGCTATAGACTAAAGGCCTCTGATTGGAGGCCAATATCAGATGAGATGGGGGTTCTGCCAGCCTGAGTCCCAGACCTTTCTTTCCTTGGTTGGAACTACATAGATTGCTCGAGGCGGAAGAGGGTCTGGATGCAGAAAGAAATGGGGGTCAGAAAAAGAGGTCAAGGTGAAGTCACCAAGAGTCACATTCGGATGGAATATCTTTTGAGCATAGGATGCAAAAAAGTCTCAAACAACTAAGAAAACTCCATACTATGAGAAGCCAGGGTCCCACGGGCCATCAATCCAGATCCCAAGACCGGGGCTGCCTCATCCCAGAAGGGACAGGAGAGAAGATGGTGCAATGGAAATAAGGGAGTGGGGGTGGGGGAGGCCCACTCTAGCCCTGCCTGACTCACGGAAGTGAGAAGCAGGAGATTTCAGCTGAATGCACCTCTGCTGGCACACTGCCCCCACCCCACCCCCATACTTGGGGCACTTGCATAGGTCAAGATTAAGACGAGGTCAGGAGGGCCATGGGGAGGATAGGCTTAGCAGGGAGTTCTTACCCCCACTGGACGGCGGGCTGGTTGGAGAGGTCCCCTCCATCTCCTCGAAGGCCTCCTTGTAGCTGTGCAGGTGGGGCTGCAGGGGGACAAAGGGGAAGAAAAGGGGGAAGCCCTGAGAAGAGGAGGTCCCCCTTCAGATGACCTTGAGCATGAGGTCAAGGTCACAAATTCCCTCCCCAGCCTGACTCTCTGCCACTGCTCAGGTAAGTGCAGAGGTCAAAGGGAGATCCTGGTCACTCACAGCCCCAACAACTCCTTGAACTAGAGAGAGTGGGGGAGTGGCCATTTGCAAGCTCAGGCAGAACCGGAAGTATTTCTGAACACGGCTACAGAGAAGGGGCTGAAGGCATGGGCCTTGCATCCTGCCAGAAGGCAAGAGAAAAAAGAGTCAAGGGCCTCTGGCATCCAGAATGCCTCTCTACTCTGGGTTTTATACAACAGCACCCACTGGTATCTCTCAATGTGGCCATGGACCATCAGAATTTTTCAGGGTGCATGTTTATGATGCGGATTCCTGGGTCCCATCCCAGAATGTCTATGCTGGAATCTCTGGAGGTGGATTTGGGAATCAACAGTTTTAACAGACTCCCCACTGAAGATTGAGATCCTCTGCCTCCGACTACTGAAATGTCTCAGAAATGCACTCTTCTGGGCATGAAAACTAACTCTTCCAAGAAAACCCTTATTTCTGAAAAAGGCTCAAGAATATTTTGTCAGTCTATACAACCTGGTTTGGACTTTCAAGATGAAGGTCATCTATGTCATCCCTAGGATCCTTATCACACTACAAAGGGACTCTCTTTAGGAATCAAGAAAGTAACAGGGCGTAAAAGCTATTGGAGGGAGAAAATGGGCTCCAGATTCCACATGCCAGAGAAACGGCCTTGGGTGAGGAAGCAAGAAGACAAAAACTCTGCGTTTCACTGATGGGTCACTGCCACAGTGCTACCCTCTGTGGCCCCAGGATGCAGCTCAAGGACTCACCTCTTTGGGCCGCCCTCCAGGATTGAGGGCGATGGTGAGAGCCAGCTCAGGGGAGACGCACTGGACAGGGGAGCGAACCCCGGGGCTACGGGGGGATGTGGCTTCAGGAGAATGGTTCTCATACTGTCCATCGCTGGCCGCCCGCCTCCGGAGTGGGGCTGGGGGCTCCGCAGGCTGCCTCTCCCGAGCCTGCACCCCTGGGAGGAATGGCAAGGCATGCAGGGCGATGAGTGTATTGTTTGAGAAATACTCAACCCCTCCTAGTCGCCCCAGAGAAGGCAGCGCCCCTTAGCACAGGGCCAAGCTGGAGCGGGCCAGCCTCCCCTCTGCACCTCCCCCAGCCTTCCTGGGTCCAACTCTGTTCACACCCTGGGTTTTCTCTGTAGGGTGGGGGACCTGCTTGGACAGGGCCGGGAATCGCCAGGAATCGCTACTCCACACAGGGTTGGGACCAAGAGCACAAAGGATTGATACAAGAAACAGATGTCAGCTCCGTCCAGCCCCTAGAGGCAGAGGGCCAGAGCTTCCAGACACAGGAGGGGAGGTGGAGGGAAGTGAGGGTCTCCAAGGCAACTGCATCAACCAACAGGCAACATCAAGCCCGTGGGGAGGAACTTTTGGAAGGGGATAAATTGCATCATCTTGCAAAATGGTGCTCCCAAGAAGAAACAAAGACACGACTTATTCTCGCTGTGGAGTCCTCAGCCCAACTGGCCACTGGGATATTTCGAGCCTTCTCTGGGGTTCCCCAACCTCCGTTGGTGTACGGCTGAGACTTCTTACCAACCTCCCTCCTACTGGCCCCTTAGCTAAGCACCCACTCTTCTCACTCCAAAGATGGCCACGGCTCCCAGCGGCCCCTCCCTGCAAAGGGCAGGCACAGAGGTCATGCTCTCCATCTGCGTCTCAGCACTCCCAACCCCAGGCCCCCTCCGCAGGCCGGGCACAGTGCTCACCTCGCCCTCCTTCCTTCCTTCCCACTCTCTTCCCACAGCTGGGCTGAGGCATGGAATCCATTGCCTCACTGAACTGGCTCCCAGAATCCTAGAAAATTCACTTCCCAGGTCCCAGGAGCCAAGACCCAGCCCAAAGGGTGGGCCCCAGACCTGATTATCTTCCAGGACACTCTCAGCCCTGCCTGAACCCCCACTGGGACTAACCAAAGGTCCTAGGTCACACGGGCCTGGTACCTGGGATGTACCTCTGAGAAAACCATTCCACAGCACACGTGGGAGCACACACACACTCACACACCCCACACACTGCTGGACCCTAGGAACAGGCCAGTACAGCCAAGCAGATCACCACCGCACAGCCTGAACCACCCTCCACCACCCACACTGGTCTGCATGCGGGGCAGCCCCTGTTTTCTTGGCTGTAGGCCGACGAGTCTGGGGCAGGCGCACCCCTGCTTTCACGCCACACGCAGTCACTGTAGACAGGGACCTGGGTGCTCCCGGGATGGGTGCTCCATAGGCCAGTCAGAGAGTCAGGGGATCGCGGGTTAAATCCAGAAGGTGCAGGGGTGGAGGATACCTGGAGTCCCCACCTTGGTCCTTACCCAGAGGCCCTGCCTGCCCACTCAGCCAGGACAACCTCACTGCCACTCCCAAACTTCTCTGCTTACAGCTAATAAGCCGCCAACCTCAGCAAGTCCTTATTTTCGGAATAGAAAACCAGGAGTCATATAAGCCTCAGCCAGGGGCTGCTAGGGGCACCCACCCTGAAGGACGGAGGGCCTGGCCCGGGAAGGCAGAGCACACCAGCCTCAACCAGCGAGTCCAGACTCCCAGGCCTCGAAGGCTCTGTGCGGCCAGCAGCTCAGCCAGGCCTGCAGGAAGCCCTGGCCCTGGCCACGCTTCCCCTTCCCCTGCCAAGGCCCTACCCCACTCGGGCCTCCTGGGCAGCATGGACAGGGCTGCTGCTAGAGTCATTCGGCAAAAACATTACAGAGAAGCAGAGGTTGCCACTGATTTTCTAATAATACTGTGACAAAGGAGGAAGGTTCCCGGCCTGGAACTGAGTTCAGCCCCAAGGTGAAGAAACACATTAGGGCTGGTCTCCGTCCCGGGCTCACCCACCCGGCAGCCTCCTCTGGCCGGTCCCTTGCCTTTTCAAGAGGTGGCCGGTTTCCCTGTCCCGTGATCTGATGAGGTTTGCCCTTGGGAAAATCGGTCTGTTGCCACTGGAGACACTGCCTGAGTAGCATCCATGCCCAGGGGCCACGGTCAACCGTGGCAGCAGGACAGGAGGCTGGACTGAACGTGGCCTTGCTGATGGTGGAGGAGCCAGACGCCAGCCGTGCAGAGAGCTGTGCCTTCTCAGCTCCTTCGCCACCACCAGCTGGCACGCGGGAGAGCGTTCTGATCAGAGGCAGAAGGATGGACCAAATGACCTCTGAAGAGCCAGGGAGCTGCAGGGCACAGCCTCCCCCTTCAGAAGGAGAAGACCCTGCATTCCACTCCCACGGGGCCAGCCCCGCCCCCCAAAGAGTGCCCCCTGGCACCAGTGGCCACTCAGGGCCACTTGCATTCTTTGAACACAGTGTCCCACTGTTGTCCCCCTTGGCAAGCCCAGAGCTGCCCTGGAGTGCCTGGAGAACCTCGTTCCCTCTCTCTTGTCACTCTCCAAGGGAGGGGAGCCGGGCATGATGGAGGAAGAGAAGAGAGCCCCATTGTTCTGAGCCCAGCTGGGACGTCTGGACCCCAGTTGACAGCCCGTGTCAGAGGGAGAACAGCCCCCTCTCACGTCCCAGAGCCTGCTCCAGGCCACCACCCTCCACCCAGGACTTCCTCAGTCCCCCAGCCCCACTCTCTCTCAGGGCCTCTGGTTCCGACACACACACAGGCAGGGACCAGCGCACACTCACGCAGACACACATGCACACAAGTGTGCACACACCACCAGCCAACCCGACAGGAAGGGCAACGGGACACGGATGGTGGGATCCTGGTGGGGCCCTCAGCACCCTTACAGTCAGCCCCACCCACCCCTGCAGAAGGCCATATGGCCAGAGGAAGCTGGTGAAGAAAGGAGCCAAGAAAAGCAGGATTCTGGAAGGTTCTCCCAGCCAGGCGGCAAGCCCAGCACTCTACTCCAAGAAGACTGAGAAGTGAGATGCACTAATACAAGAAGCTGGTCTTCAGGATCACAACACCCGCCAAGGGGCCTGGGTCACCTTCTAAGGGCTGCTCACACAGTGGCATGAGGTCCTCCCCTCGGCCCTGGGAGGATGGCAGGCACCTCTGCCCCAGAGCCTCCACATGGCCCCACAGGTGGGGAGGAGCAGGCCAGGCAGCCCCGCCGCCCAGGGCACCCCCACTCTGCTGCCCAGGACGGTGCTGTTGGGGGACGGCTCTTTCCTGAGGCTCCTCTAACTGAGATAGACCTGAGGCAAGCCCGGCCTTCACCGCGCGCGCGCACACACACACACACGTACTCACACGCACACCCTGCAATTCTGGGCGTGAGGCCCCAACACTTTAGTAAAGGACTGCCTCTCCCACCCGAGTCACAGGGACAAACTCCCTGGTGTCAGCTTCCCCCACCCCGTGGCCACTCCCACCCCCACAGACCCAGCTCTTCTCCCAATCTTCCAGTTTCCAGAAGACTGGCTTCCTCAGCTCCAGGTCGGGAACGGGGTGTCCGACTGCATGCCTGGGGCTCCAGGAGCAAGGGGATCCAGGAGGAAGGCCACCTGCTAGGCCAGGGCACCAGAAAGCCACACGGCAGCGGCGCTCACACTAGCAGCCCTAGGGCAAGCCATGCCAGCTCCCCTCAGGACACACCAGCCCCAGAACCCGCCCAGCCCCAGGCCCAGCTGGACACTGCACTCCCCACCACAGGGCTGAGAAAAAGGCCGAGGGAAAAGAGGAGGGGGACGGGGGACAGGGTTTTAGAGCTATCTCCCGATTATCCATGGACTGGGAGGAGGAGGATCCAAGAGGCACCAGGCAGTGCCGTTGGCCGTCACTGGTTCCCAGCGCCTCTCAGGCCATGGTGTGGGACAAGCCTGAGCACAGTGTCCCCCCCCTGACACCAGCCTGAGGCTCACAACAGCTGGGAAAGACCAGCTGATTCCCTCCCCAGGACCACGAGCCTGAGGATCTGCTGTCCAGGAAGTTGGAGTGGACATCAGGGGACGTCATCATCCTCAGATAAAGTACCATGGCCCTGGGGGAGGGGCCCCCCATCCGGGACATGCCAAACCACCGTGCGAAACACTGGAGGCCGGCTGTCACCCTCCAGGTTTCAAATTGGGTAACTGAGCTCCGAACAGGTGAGCGACTTGCCCAAGGTCACGGGGGTGAGCACAGGCAGGGCCAGAACCATAGCCCAGGCTTCTGACTCTCGGCTGTGGGTCCTAGGATCAGATGGGAGTGGGGTCAGAAGTACTCTGTCTCTAGGGTGTGCAATGCACTCCTTGTCCTGCACCTGGTGGCTGGCCCCAAGCAAGGCACAGCCTACCTCCTGCTGAGACCCCCCACCCCCAGCACAGACTATCTGCCGGGGGTCGGGGGGGCAGGGTGCTGGACCCCTCACTGCGCACCTCACCGCGGAGGCCTTTACCTCCGTGGGGACCCTGAGGGTTCATCTAGCCCCTTTATACCTGTTCCCAAGGCTGAAAGCATCAGGCCCCATCCATGCAGAAGCAGGGACCAGGCTCATGCAGAGAGGAGGGACAGAGGACTTGGAGAGGAGGGGGAGGAAAGAGAGGGTAAGGAGCAGGCTAGAGAGAAAAACAGGGAGAGCAGAGAGAAAGAGCTGGAAAGAGGACAAGCACCCAGCAGAGGGGAGACGGGGACAGGAGGGAATGGGGCCTGGAGGGGGAGAGGCAGCTGGCGAGGTCTGAAGAGAGAGAGAGACCAGGAGCTAAACCAAGGCCAAGGGAGCGGGGACAGGGACCAACCAGAGAGGGAGGCAGATCGCAGCCGGTGGAGAGGAGGGGCCCGGGAGTGGCCACCCTGCCCCATGTCCTGCAGCTTGGCATTGTACGCTGCCCACCCCAACCCCAGGGGAGCCGGCAAGGGTGGGAGGCGGGCGGGCGGGGAGACACCAGGCCAGGAAAGCACAGGGGACAGGTGGACACAGGCCATGCAGAGCATGCAGGGACAGGCACAAAACAAGACGAAACAAAACACAAACAAAGAGAAAAATCGAGATTAGTTGGTGTTCTGCCTGGGATGGGCCACACACTGGAGGGGGCGGGCAGGGGGTGCCGCAAGAAGAGAGGGTGGATCTGGGGTCTTACTTCCCCAGAGGACGGGTGGCCTACTGTTGTCCCTCTCACTCCTAACCCCAGAGTAGAGCAAGAAGCTGCCTGCCTGGGACCGGGTGACCTCGGTCCTCTGACCCCACGCCCCACTCACTCCTCCGCCAGCTTTGCCCATCCCAGGACCTCCTCTTCTCTCGTGGTCACCGGCCTCTGCCTGAACCCAGGTCACACTCCCTAGCCTGCCAGCATCCCTCAGCACCCGCCCGTGTGGGCAGTCCTCTCCTCTGGGGAGCCCCTGGCTCTTTCTGCTCTACCCAAATCTACTTGGTGCCACCAGAAAAGTCCTGAAAATGAACCTGCTTGCTGCTGTAGAAGGGCTGCTATTTCAGCCATGTCTCACCTTGCTGACCCCCATCCTTCTTCTCCCCACAAGGCCAAACGTTTTTTTTGGGGAGTGGGGAAGGTACTAGGGATTGAACTCAGGGGCACTCAACCACTGGGCCACACCCCCAGCCCTATTTTGTATTTTATTTAGAGACAGGGTCTCACTGCATGGCTCAGTGCCTCACCATTGCTGAGGGTGGCTTTGAACCCACAATCTTCCTGTCTCAGCTTCCTGAGCCCCTGGGATAACAGGCGTGGGCCACACGCCCAGCAGGGGCCAGCCTTGATCCTGGGGATCTCTCCCCACGGGTGAGCTCCCCCTTGCTAGCTTTACCTGGCCCGCATCTGCTGACAGCCCCCACATCTCTAAGCTCCAATCTGTCCCCCTGAAACTCCTGATTCTTACCACCAGACCATCTCAGATGCTTCATGAGCATCTCCCACCCAAGGTGCCCCAGATCACACTCCGGTTCCCTCTGGCCAGCTCTTCTCAAATCTTACCCTTCTCAATACCAAGCAGCTCCAAGGTTAGAGTCGTCCTTGACTTTGCTTTTTTTCTCACATCCCACATCTAGTCTATCTGTACCTCTCGCTGGCTGTGCCTCCAAAACACATCTACGATCCAAGCCCAGCCTCACACCTCCACAGCTCTCACCCTGATCAAGAGTAGCAACCTCCTAACGGGCCTCCCTCCTTCCATCCTGGCTATACTGATCCTTTTAGGACAAGTCAGATGACATCACTCTTTGGACCAAATCCTTTTTAAGGCTTCTCACACCATGCAGAGCAAAAACAAAAGTTCTTAGGATCCCCTGCAAGACCAACCATATGCCAGGACCACTCCAGTACCTCTCTGACCTCCTGTTGGTCACTCTGCTCTAGCCACACCAGGCACACTCTGCCTCAGGGCCTTTGAACTTGCTGCCCATGAGGCACATTCCCTTGTTGCCCCATGGAGCGTCCCCTGACCATGCATATAAAGTGCAACCACCCCCTGCCCTCTCCCCATCACTGTCACTTCACTATTTGATCTCTATGGCACTTGTCAGTCATCAGAAAAATTTATGTATCTACTTGTTCATTTACTCAGTGTCCAATTCTGTGGAAGGACCAAGGCTTAACCTGTTGTTTGCCACCATTTTCTCAGAGCCTAGACTAGAGAGTAGCACAGATTCAAGCTCCTGCTGAATGAGGGATGGAATGGGCCTTGAACTCAGCCCTGGATTCATACAGAAAAGGAAAAAAGGGGGGGAGGGCTTCTTAATCCAAGCTCTCCAAGTTTGACACCAAGTATTTCCATATATCTTTATCCATTCTTTATAATTTCATGAAGAAGTATCGCAGCTCCTGGCCCAGACTGGACTCCCAGGCCTGTCCTCTCGCACCGCCTTAGAGATGTGATTCTATCAATCTCTTCATTCTTCTCCTCTCTGTCCCTCTCCTTCCTCCCGTCTGCAGCCTCCCCTGCTCCTGTCCTTCACCTGAGAGCATTCTCACGACCCCAAGCTCTCCAGAAAGCTCTGATGTCTTGCTGACCTCTTTGGCTGCCCTTCTCTCCCCTTTTATCAAGAAACCACTCCAAAGAGTAGTTGGCACGCTGTCTTCACTCCATCCCCACTCACTCCTCGGTCCCTTGCTGTCTGGCTTCTGTCACCAGCACTCCACTAAAACTATGCCTTTGAAAATCACCAGGCCCCTAGTTGGCAAATCCAGGGGCTTAGTCTCTTGCTCCTCCTCCTCCTCCTGGTATCTCCAGTGGACACTGCTCACCTCCCCGCCCCTCCTCCTTGAAATCCTTTACTCTCCTGGCCTTGCGATGACACATTGTCCTGGCTCCTGTCACCACCCTGAGCATCGTTCTCAGACCCCCTTCCTAGCCTCCCTTTCTGCTCATGGCCACTCTAACCTAAGTTCTCTTCCCTCCATGATCGTGACATAGAGATCTCATTCATGCCCAGAGCTCTAACCTCCACCCTTGGGAGGAAAATCCCCAAATCTGCAGCTCTTCCCACTCGGTCAAGGTCCAACTCCATCAGCCATGTGTGGAGGCTCCGCTGACCCCTCAGACCCTGCAGCTTCGTTAACCACGCTAGCCGGTTCACAGGGCGAGGGAACCACGGTGCTTTTCAGCCATCCCTGATCCCCCCGACTGTCAATCAATCTGTGATTGACTGGCCCTACTCCCACTGTGGCCGTGGCACCATCTCTTCTTTTGGATGCCCATGGTCAGCATCCTAATCTGGTCCCCATTACCAAGGTGACCTAATAAGCTCCCAGCCTCTCCCAGGTCAAAATCTCTCCCATTTGCATTCTTCCTGCCCAGTCTCACCAGACGCACCTTCCTGAACCCCAGCTGGGTGGCACATTCCCCTGCCTAACCACAGGAATGATTTCCCCTGTTGGTAAGTGGTAAACTTCAAGCTCCTTAGGCTGGTATTTAAGACCATCCCGAGACAGACCTCTGGCTGCCTTTCCTGAGTCTCCCTCTAACAGTCTACGAGGCTCTCCACATGCTCACTGTTCTTCAAACATTTCCTGTGCCTTCCTATCCTTGCCACGACCTCTCTGTGTCCACTGAGTCCTCAATCACTTTCAAATCCTATCCATCTTGCAAGGTTGTTTAACACCATCCTCCACACAGCTGCCTCGGCCTTTCCAGCTGCTAGTGACCTCTTCTCTCCCACAGAGCTTTCTCCATACCTCTTTTATTATGAATGACCTCATCTTAAAGTTCTAGTTCTCCCCACCACCCTCAGCACTAAACCTGAGACTCCTTAGAGATAAGATCCATATCTGATTTCCAACATGCACTGAAATCTCTATCTCTCGAGGCATCCAATATCAGTCCCATCACAGAATCAGGAATATAAGATACCTCCACTGTACTCCTCAACTCTCTTATTTCTTTTTCTTGTCTTATTGCACTGACCGGGAATCCAATACAATGTTAAATGATAGTAGTGATAATAGACATCCTTACTGGGTCCCATGGCTATAACAGGAATGCTCCCAACATTTCACAAGGAAATGTGGCACGTGCTATAGATTTCTACTGCCTTCTCATTTTCAAGTTAGGAAAATTGTCCCTACAGTCTCTAAGATTTCATCGGAAATCAGACATGAACAGTAGTTGGATCAAAGTGGAATGAACCAAACAGAGTGCCGAGGTACGAAGGACGGCTAAGGTGGGGAGGAAGACCTGGGGGATAAAAGCCAAGAGAATCCAGATCAAGTTCATGGTCATGAAGAGGTTCTGCCACAGATCTGAGCTTCCTAGTTACTCATGTGAACACTTAAGTCCCAGCTTCCCGCGCAGCAGAATGCCGAAAGAGCAGGAAGAACTGATACTGAAAGTCCATCCTCCCTGCCTCCCAGAAAGTCCTACACATTGATGTTACTTGAGGGCCCTTCGGTACCATGAAGGGCTACTAAGGAAATTCTGCACGCAGAGCCTGCTGACATAAGAAATTCTGTTCATGGCAGGGTATAGACCAAAGAGGCGAATTCAGAGCCCTGGGTACCAGATACAACGACCCTCTCTATCCATCTCACCCCTCCTCCTGAGTCATTTGTGGTTGGTAGACAAGATGGTAATGGGCTTAGGTAAAGGGACCCTCTGCCATCAATGCCCTCCACCAACCCCATGGCTGCATGAAAGCCCAGACCTGAGAGGCTACAGGATACGGAAGTTGGCAGCCAAGACCGCGGAGGCTGGTTGAGGGGAGACCCACTCTCAGATGGACCTCCCCCCCAGGGCTTGAGCAGTATGGCTTCCTCTGGACCAAGAAGAAATTCATTCTGTGTCCTCCGCAGAGAAGTCCCCTGGATCCTATTCATCATTAGACCACAGCATCACTATCCTTCAGGCCACCTCAACACTGGGAGGGGAATGGCATCCCCAGGGAATTTGGGTGGCCCCGTTGTCCCTCTCGCCTCAACAAAACTTGGAGGAAATGGGTTGGTTTCGACAGACGAGGCAGCCAGGGAGGTGCCCTTGTGTCACAGCCCGGATGTGGGAGGAAGCAGAAGTCAAGCCCCAAATGGATCACCCATGGAGCATCTCACCCGCAGAGGGTCAGGGATGCTCAATCCTGGGTTTGGTGCTTGGTTAAAGCCACAAAGACCTCCTGCCCCAGCTCTCCAGGGTTTCTGCTCTGCCCTGAAGTACAGCAGCACCCAGGGCACCCAGGGCCCAACCCAAGAGCCAGCTGGCCTCTGTGAGCTGCTTCCCCATCCCAGGAGGGTGCCTCCCTTCCTCCCTGCAGCTGGCACGGTGACTCAGCCTCCCCTGAGTGTAGTGGAGGGCACAGCCAGCTGCCCAGCCTGCCTTCCCCTCGAGTCTCACCCCCTGTCAGCTGAGGGCTGGGCACGAGGCCCACCCCACCCCAGTCTTGGGGCCACCCCTGTCCGGCTTTCGCCTCACAACAAAATCAACTGCGAGGATTCCCCGCGGCCTGGCTGTCCCTGGGAACAGTCATAAGCTGTGGCAGGTGGCTGTGTCCCTCCCAGGGTGGCCTAGACACTGGCTCTTTCTTGCCTTTTTCTCCCCAGTAGGTTCTCCTGGTTCCCACTCTCCCTTCCCTCTCTAGGTATCTTTCTGGATTTGCTCTGATAGGAAGAGGAGCTGGTCCTAGGCAAGGACTAACGGGAAGCTAACCGGGAAAGGGACCTTGGCCCCTCACAAAAACAAACCTGAAGGCCCTCACCAGGCTGAACACTCAGATAGAGCCCAAGGGTCTAAGAGTCCACAGAGACCTCCCTCCGCCTTCTCCTACCCCAAGGACCTGAAGTCTGAGGACAACAAGCACGGCAGGCAGGCTCATAGTCTCCTCTCCACCTAGAAAGTCTGGACTCCAGCCCTGAGTCACCACCTCCAGGAAGCTCTCCCTGGTTGCCCTAGGTGGGATGTTATGCTTCCCCGAGCTCTGGGGCCCGGTCTCACTTCTGAGCTGGGGGCAAGTGGGACTCGGCACACACTATACTCTCTCGGAATTACCTGTCTGTGCCTGTCCCCTGACAAGACTGCAGACTCTTTGAGGTGTAGATACAGGAAGGGTGGCTGGGCCCCAGCTCCTGAGAGCCTCCCCAGGCCACAGCAGCACTGCGCCTCCCCCCACAAGGCCAACGGAGACCGAGGGAAGGGCAGAGGGAGGCAGGAGGGAATGTCCACGTCTACGGCCCCTGAGGCTCTTACCTGCTATTCGGTGGGCCACCAGCCCTTCCAGATTCAGTGGCTCCTCCTCTGGGGTTCGGGAGGGCTCTGAGGCCGCTTCCTTTGGTGGGAGCTGAGGCTGAGTGGTGAGGCCAGGGAGAGAGGCTGGGGGCTGCTGAGGCCCTGGGGGGCCATGGGCGGTTGGAAGGAAGGATGAGGAGGCTGGGCTCTTTGGACGGAAACCCTGGTTGGACGCAGCTGGACCCGACTGATAATCGTAAGGTGAGTAAGACCTGCCGGGAGGGGCCAGCTCGGGGGTTCCCAGGGAGTGCCCACCGGGGATGGAGCCAGATCTGGACTGGGTCAGTGGATGCGACTGGCGGGAAGAGCCTGAGAGGGGCTGGGAGGAGAGTGGGGGAGCCCCTGGCCAGGCCCCAGGGACACTCTGGGACTTGTGCAGGGGGGCGGCGGCCGAGACTGGCTCAAGGTCCAGCATGAGCATGTTGAGCGCTTCGATGGACTGCTCAATCTCCTGGTGAGAGGCCGCCCTGGGGAACTCTGGGAGAGCAGAGGCGGGGGGCTCTGCCAGCGGCTGGGGGCTGGGCCTGCCGGTCGCGAGGCTCTCCAACTGGGCTCTTTCCTGCTGGCGAAGAGGTTGGCGAGGCTGCGGCTGCTGCTGCTGCTGCTGCTGCCATGAATTCAGCCCCCTCTGCACGGCCTCCCGGCTGCTGCCCCCGCGGGCTGGAGCTGGGGGCAGCTGGGGCTCGGCATCCGGGAAGGACTGAGAGCGGAACATGCCGCTGGGGTCATGGCCATAGTGGGAGGTGGTCACTGCCTGGGGCCAGACCGGGTGAGGCCCCTCCCGCTGGTAGCCAGCTAAGCCCTCCTGCGCCGAGTAGGAGGGTCGCATGGGGGCCACGTGGCCAGCATGGGCGGGCACTGCCCGGCTGGCGTTCTCATAGGGGTAGCCCCCGCCATTGACCAGAGGTTCCTCAGGGTGGGCCTTGTCCAGGCCGTTGGTTAGTGGGGGCAGGGCGTCTGGGTAGCCCCCCTCGCTGGTGTTGGTGATCCCGTCCAGAGAGGACAGCGTGCCCATGCTGCCCACGCTGTGCCCATCCTGGTTGGGCAGCTCATCATCCAGGATGTCTGTCTCCCGCTCAGAGGCCAAGGCCCCACCGTTGACATGGACCTGGGCTGGGACAATATGGCGGCCGGAGGGAGACCCAGCTGGGCCGGCGGCCAGGCGGGACCTGAGGTGCTGTGCACGGTACATGGCGCCCTGCTTCTCTCGCTCTAGGCCAAAGCCGCTGAGCAGGCGATCCAGCTCCCGCTTCTCCTCGGGACTCAGGGCAGCGGGGGCACCGGAGGCCGCGGGGACAGGCTCATCCGTCTTGTCGGTCTTGGTGGAGGCTGTGGAGTTGCCCGAGTCACTGCTCACGGAAAGCGTGTGCTCCACGTGGTTGGGGGTGGCCGACAGGACAGGACGCGCGGCGTTGACGGCCCCGGTGCTGCCGTTCAGGGAGTCCTTCTTCTTCACCTTGGCGTACAGACTCCCGTCCAGTGGCCCCTGGGTGTGTCCCACCACCTCTGCAAGGACAGAGCAAGGAGACGGCAGATGTCACCGGCAGGCAGCTGTTCCCACAAGGAAAAGAGTTAGAGCCCCATCCGGATCCCCGAGTCTCCCCTTGCCACTCTGAGGAGGCACAAAGGAAAGGGACAAAGGACCCTACCACACAGGGCCAGGCAGCAGAGCCTAGGACTGGGCAAGGAGTCCTGAGGACAAACGCCCACCCCGGCCCATCTCTGGCTCTTCACCAGCTTCCTGGACACAGAGGCGTGAATCACTCTCTGGGCCTCAGTGTCTTCGTCTGTGCAACAGGGCAATAATAGAATCAGGCTGGCCCCTATGAGCTGCCACTCTTCATTGAACACAGCAGGCTACACGTTGAAACGAGCCGACACGAGTCGAGCTGAGCCGTGTCGGGTCCGTGGCCAGAGAGGTGTCCATCCTGAGGACCATCCATTCCTGACCGGTGACGGGCACCGCACGACCATCCCGGCCACTAGCACATCTTGGGGAGTTCCTGGGATTCCTGCTCGGGGTTAGGGGCTGACGCCAGGAGAGGTGGGCTGCGCCTTGAATGCACGCGGAGGGGTCAGCCCACCTCTGAGGACAGCCTTGGCCCCGGCAAGTGGGGGAAGAGCCTGCGAGGGCAGTGAGGGCGCAGCGCGGGGTGCCAGCCCACGGCGGGCGGGGCTGGGGAGAAGAGGCTGAAGACAGCACTGGGACTTTCTAAGACAAACTCGCCCTCCGGCCTCCGATGCCAAGTTTGGCTCAATACAAAGAATTTTCTAGAGCCTTTCAGACATACAACGCCATTCATTCTCCCCAGTGCCACATTTTCTGAAGTCTCTCCCATTTCCTTCCCCAGCACTGTCCCCTGCGCATGGACCCTGCCCACCACGACAAGCTCAGCCCACACCATTCAGCCTGCAGGAAAAGGGGCACCAGTCAAGGGCAGGGTGGCAGCAGGCCCACCAGAGGGCCCAGCCAGGACCCCTGAGGAGCTGAGCCAAGACGCAGCTGACGTAGCCAGCAGTCCTGTGCCAGAGGGTACCGGCACTCCCTCCGCAGAGGGTGCCATGTGGGGTGCTTGGGCAGGGGCTCAGGGACCAGGGTGGCAGGGGAGACACCTTGGGGATGGATGGAGAACCCAAAGCAGAGGTCTTCGCTGGGGAGAGCTCTCCTTTTGTTTGCAGGCAGCTCTAGGGACCCCCAGAAGCAACACTTTCTCTAGAAGGAAAAAGTGAGCTGTGGGTGGCTCCGGGCCAGGGGGCTGACTCAGGAGCAAGAACCTCCCCCACCCAGAGGAGCTCAGTGATTTCACACCCCGTACAGTCAGCAGCCCCTGCTCCAGACCCGAGGCACACACCCCACGCCCTCACGCAGAGCCCCGCCTTCTGCTGCAATCCAGCCGCCCCCCCCCAGGTAAAACACCCCCTCCCAAGACTGCACCCACCCCAGCCCACACCCAGCAGCCACACACTGAACCCAACTCAAGACCCTGAGGCGCACACCAACCAGAAGTCACCAAATCAGAAACACAGGGGCCTGTGCCGGCGAGGGGACCCCCACACCAAGAACCACAGCCAGCACGGCGTGGTGAACAGAAGCTGCGACAGTGTGTGCTCCCCAAGTGCCAACCCTGGTGCCCGGCACCGCACACACCACGGTCTCTAGCCCTGGGGGCAGGTGGTACCGTAGCTGGTCCAAAACGACAGATCTGTAGACACAGCACCTGGGGCCAGGGGGCTGCACCTCACAATCAGAGCTAATTTACTTAAAAGATCGTAAAATTTGTGTTAGGCTACATCCACCCCCCCATACACACACACACACACACACACACACACACACACACACACAGTAGAATAAACACATAAAAGGCAGGAATACCCCAAAATAAATATTTAAATTTAAAGCCACAAACATTTCAGAAAATACAAACGTTCTTGCCCTGCCCAAGGATCAGCCCTCGAGCCAGAAGTGACAGTCTCTAAAAATAAACCCTTGTACAGAAGCCCACGGCCAAAAACAAGTGATTAGACAACCACAGAACAGGAACATGCTGATCGACACACACACACCACAGCAGCCCAGTGACGTCATCAAGAGCCCGCACAGAGATTGCAAGCAAGGAGGCACCCACAGACCCCATACCCGCTGGGGGCTAGATGCGCTGCGGTCCCTGTGCGCTGCAGAACTAGCTCTGCCCTCAGTTTTCCCTGAGGCTTTGGGACCTCAGCCAGCAGCCAGCCCCGAGTGATAAGGGGCCACAGTGTTACTGCGGGTCACAGGGCTGGGGCAAGGTCTGAACTGGTGGGAGGCAGCGGGGAGACTGCCTGATGATCCCCACCACCTGATGCCCTGACCCTTCCGTACCCCTCCTGGGCAGGCCTCATTTTCATCCATTACAAAAATGCCAGTGTTAACCCTGTTCCGCCCCGTGATTGATCCACACGAGCTACTGTTGCATCGAAATCAGAAACAATGACTGCTAAACCACTAAGGTGCAGTAAGAAAATCGAAGAGCTATACATTGTTTAATTAAATCCTGTTTGTTAAATGCAAATGAATGTGTTTCCTGCTGTCCTCAAAGAAGGGGCCAGTCGCTGCTGACGGCCCTGTGCTGGCCACAAGGGCCGTGCGCTCCAGGCCAGTCTGCCTAGAACTGAGTGCCCTCCTCTTTGTAATCAAGGGCAGGATCAAGGACACGAGGGCTGCCCAGCCCTGGAGGGCTTTGCAGCGTCCAGCGTGTGGACACGACCTGTGGAGCAGCTCCCCTCCCCCTGTCGCGGAGATGGAGGTAAGTGCCCCCCCACACACACACACACAAACTCGTCCCTCCCTCTCCCTGTCCACCACGACCACATTAAGAGCTATTTACTGGACCACAAGAAGCCGGAACTCAAGGCTGGTTTCAATCCATCAAGGCAGGAAGGGCAAAGAGAGAGGCAGACAAGGACAAGGATAAAATCAAGGGGGGAGGAGGGAGAGGGGACCTGCCGGGGCTGGGGAGATGGCTTGAGAGGCCCCCAGAGCTGTCAGGTCCAAGACCCAGCAGCCTCCACGGGAGGACCTGGCCAGGCCAAGTCACCTAAAGTGAGAAGCCCTTGGTCTCTCAGAGGGAGCGAGATGGCATGGAGCCTGGTGGGGGGGGCGGGGGGCTCTGGCTGGCTGGGGTCAGGGTACTGGCACAGGTGGCCAGGGAACCAAATCGAGCAGAAACACAGGCCCAGGCACCCCAGGGTGCAGTGCTCCCACGCCCCAGCCCCAGCCCACCCTGTCATCTGTCTCAGGGGCCTTCTCCTCACCATTTCTCTGGGGACCCTGAAAAGGCCACAGTCTCTTCGAGGCCCTCTCGCTTTGTCTGACCGTCTCCCTGATCTTCTCAGCAGCAGCTGGAAGCCGGGACCCCACCCCCGACGCTATGTGATGACATTCGCCAAGGGGCCCTTATTCCACCTCGGCCCTCATCCAGACGTGCGAGTCATGCTTTTGGAAGGATCTGAGGAAAATCCCCAGCTGACTTGGATGCGGACCTACTCCCTGAGGCTCCCGCCCAGTGGGGCTCTGTGCAGAGGTGTATGTGGTGCTGGATGGACTATGCTGGCCAACACGCAGGGACGTCCACACGTACCCGCCTCATCTACTTAAAAAAGGACACACAAAAAAAAATGGGGATGGGGTGCTAAGGCTATTTGGTTTCAGAGTGGCTATTTTCTAATTTGGATGTTCTTAAGAATCTCCTCCAGGGATTGTCAAAAATGTAGATTAGGGGTCATTGGAGGCCAGGGTGGGGCCACAAGTCAGCGTTTTAAAGAGGCCTCCTGGGGTTCAGGCACACAGGTGGACAGGACCTTGGGAAACCCAGACACAGGTGAGCGGCACTCCAGACACGGAGTGGAGCCCCTCCCACTTCCTAGCAGGAAGGGTTTCCTGTAGGTACATGTCCCAACAGATGGCCCAACTGGGAAGCCTAAAAGGTGGCCATCAGGTTGACTGAGAGAAAGGGATTCCATGACGAGGACTCCACCAGGAGAGACCCCTCCCTGGCCCTCCAGCAGGCCTGCTTTGAATGGGGATGATTTATCGAGGGTTTCAGGATGGGGCCCTTGTTGGTAAAAAGCCCTTTGGGTCCATATTCAGCAAATAACAATTCATTAAGACATTACCCAGAGCAGCAGTGACCAGCCACCATGGAAGAAAATCAATGCGTTGCCAAGAGGAAGAGACTCTGTGCCCTCCCTGGGCACAGGCAAGTGGGGGCAGGCTGGGTCCTCAGCAGGAGGGAATCTGAGCCCCTCAAAAATAGGTGTAGGGAATCAAAGGCCACGTAGACCCGGGAGATGGGTGAACTTTGTCGAGAAGTGGGGTTTGGCTGCAAGGCAGGCAGGACAGGAAGTTCTGGACATGTGACCCCTTTAGCCTCAGACTACCCTGGCCATGGGGGAGGCAGGGACGAGGGAGCCATAGGATGGGGCTGGGTCCCAGGGAGGCCAGAAGGGCTGTGGTTCTGAAGCAGAGTCAGAGAAGAAGGGTGTCCTTCGGTCACACCCCTGCAGCCAGACACACCCACTGCTCAGAAAGATGGCCCCAGTCCTAATGGCCCAGTCAGCCCGTGGCAGCCACTTAACTGCTCCGAGGCTGGCCTCAGAGCCGCCAGGTGAAGAGGTTGGCTGCTTCCTTGCAGATCTGCTGAGTGCTGGGGTCCAGCAGCTACGCCCCTGGGCAAGGCCAGGCATATCCACGCTTCCTCTCTCCATCCTCTGCCCTCCATCTTCAACAGCTCTCACCTTCCACAGGGTACAGCCACCTCGGCCAGATATGCCAGGACTTTCATCACCAGGTCCTGCCTGCCTTCTGAAGGTCCAACACCTGCACTCCATTCGCTAAACTCTTTATACATTCTGCCCTGTGTCTCTGCACATGGCTGTTCCCACTCCTAAAATGCCCCTCCTCATCTTGCCCCTGAGACTCCCAAACTCCTGGGAAAACCCCTTCCCCCTCCTTCCGACTCAGTCCC